ATTATTTTGAAATTGGCATCAAATATTAATAAAAATCACAAAATATGCTGCGAATACTCAAAGAAAGTTTTTACTTTAATTTTGTGCCGCGACAATGATTTTATCCAAATCTTATCTGTCAAGATGTCTTTACGATGTAGGAATTATTTTGAAACACGTGTTGATTTGTTTACTTAGTTATGATTAGTGGAATTGATCATGTGACTGTTGCATCAGCTAATCGCTGCAAAGATAGCGTTAGATACCAGATATAGTTCGATTTAATTACATTCTTAGAGTCTTCGAAATACAGAATTATGCTCCTGTTTTTTGACCGAACATAATGCTAATGTTGATTATTGACTACAAATTTTTGCTGAGAATGAATTTAGTCTACTCGTTGCATTGGAATATCTCACAAGATACTGTATGTAGAAACGAGGATTTTTGTCAGTGAAAGAATTTTAGTAATTTGATTGCAAATTGAACATGCAATTGAAAGATATTTGTTGTTAAATAGAAATTTTTTCTCTTGTAGTAAGGTTTATGAAAATTATGATATTAATCAGAATAGGTGTTTAAGATTATTTGTTTATATATATCTCTATAAATGTATATATGGAACTATAAGTTTCCGGAACTACAAATTAAAACTAGCAAATTAATTTGGAGATCCGATTTCATGTTTTAGCACAGACTTAGGCAGAGGTGTGTTGCTAGGCAACCTTATTGTCATGAAAAAGAGGAATTAATGGACTATTGTTTAATATTGGCTGTCACTGTTTCATTTCCTGTCACACAACATGCAATCATTACATTTCTTTATATATATTTCATGGCCATTGATTGGTGGTGTCAGCTTTGTTAAAACCAGGATTTGATTGGTTGTCAAAGATTTGTACAAGACATTAGATAGGCCAAATCAATATGGGTTCGAAATCACTAATTCAGACATGATATTGATACTTTCCACTATTCATAGTACATGGTTTCTTTGATAATTTTTCTATTGGACGTCTGTATGTGAAAAATACTATGGGAAATAACATAACATATATTTCAAGTTCACATGTACTCTATACTCTTTGCCTTTGAAAATTTTTATCAGAAATTCATAAATAACTTTCATGACACTGAACTGAACATGTCAGGCCTTCAACTAATTACATTGAAAAACCAAGTTGAACAACCTTATTATGCAACCTTACATTTTAATAACATCTAGTTCACAATAGTAGTCTCCTTTTACCTCTGTCTACCACAGTACTTTCTCACAAACTCAACAAGCCATGACCATCATATATAGTAATATCAGGTGTATAAACATAATAAATTAGGTTAAATTTTATGTATCCACCATTTCTTATATTGATATATTTATCAAGATAAAGATTTAATTTTTTTTATGAATTCTAAGAAATATTGTGATCACACATGCATTATATGTATGTGTGGTTGATTTGTAAAAATATATGTGCACAAGTGTAAATGATCTTCATATTTGTAAATAAAAGTTTTCTGATAGACAAAAACTATAATGTGTGCATCTAGCTGTTTCATCACACATTGTGATTACATTTATATAGAAAAACTTAAAAGGACATATTGATTCAAATTTAGATAAATGTATGATCGGTAACTTTTGAAATTTTTTACTCCATAATAGTGTCTCCATCAAGAGAGTCACAAGAGAGATTGGGCATATTCACTATTGATGAACTAAGAGCACTAAATAGGCTTCAAGTTATGTATATAATTAGTTTTCATTTGATTAATTTTTATTTTCTCTTTTACAGAATCTGAGAGAAGCTGGTAAAAATGAGAATCCTAATGATTTGACAAGAATTACTAAAGACGTCATTGTCAACAAATCTTTTCAACAGAATCAGATTCATAAAATGGCAGACACAAGTGCAATATATCACCCACAACAAGGTCTACCTGCCTATAGACCATTCGCTGAATTTTCACAGAACTTGCAGGATAGGAAAGTAATGAGTGACAATTTTCAGAATGATCAGAAATCATTTAGTGCTAGTAGAACTTCATCTTCAGAAAGTCTCCACAGTGATTCTTCAAGATCATCAGTACCACATGTTAATGTGAACTCACAAAGTCAAAGTAGACCAGCATTACTTCATAATGCATCTCCCTATCCAGGTAGTCTGACTAATAATTTATTTCAACCTTCAATTACTAGCAGAGAACATAGTAAACCAATACACCATGATGGTGTACTTCCTACCAACATCCATGTAAGATCATCTAGCACAGTCACAGATAACCACACCAATCCTGCAACATCCTCTGCAGCAAGTCCGCAGGATCATTTCTTTCATCCAATAAATACAAAAATTCATGAACCACAAGTAGCAAGCCTACAGTCATCAATACAGGTAGTTGGTAATGTGGTAGAAAACCAGCATCCAGCAACTACCAGGTCATCATCGAGGTCTTGGTCACCATGGGATAATGTAATACGAAGTACCAACAGTTCACCAGCAACAGTACACAGTACCACATCTAATTCTCAATCACCATCACCAGCTATCAACTATAGTCCAGTACCTTCCCCATTCTCTTCATCAGCTTCTTCTATAGGATCAATTAATCACAATCTGTCTTCAACCCAAAATCTCAGTTCAATAATCCCTACTTCTGTCTCTCCTTCCCTTGCATCAAGCTCAGATGATTCCCAAACAAAATCCAAAGATCCTTTCCAGTTCCAAGATGAATCAAATCCAATGAAACCTCCAGAAGCATTACCAAAAGGTACTAAACCTAATAAGAAGAAACCTGATGGCAGAATTAAGGAGTGTAGGAGAAAAAAGGGAGTTCTACCTTTTCAAGAGGTCAGTCTAGATGAGATAAATCCTGAACTAGCAAGGATGATCCGGGAAAGTAAAATGAAGGAGGAAATAAAAGCAAACAACAAAAAAGATGGCCAAAAGATAGAGAAGAAACGACCAATTTATTCACCTAAACCAACTTTAGCTCAACCAGTTCCCTCTATCCATAATACTGCAGCTTTTCTTAATCAACAAATGAAGTCTGTGATGAAACCACCATCTCCTTATGAATTTTCTGATGAGCCAGAAAACTTCTCACCTGCCATATTAAAAGATACCTATAATGCTACTATTAATGTCAACTCTAAAATGTATTCAATGGGTGAAATGTTAGCAATGACTAACAGTCCTATGAATATGGGTGATGTTAAGAAGGAACCACTGAATGGAGAACTTAAGAAAAAGAAAAAAAAGAAGAAAACTGTTGAAAAAATGCTAGCTAGTCCCAACACATTAGGCACACCCTATTCTCCTTTCCCACAACCAAATAATACTCAAAGTGGAGGAAACCATGTTGATGTACAGGATCAAAATCTAAGAACAGTTCATAACCCTTCAGAAAATCTAATTATGCCCTCAACTTCCAATCTTGTGATGAAATCTGATAGTGCTTTGAAACCAGTCAATAACAAGGAAAACAGTGCTAAAAATCCAGTGGACAATATACCAGTTCAAAGTTTTCAAAATACTTCAGAACAAACAACCGAAAAACAATCATCATTGGGCATCACCACCTCCACTTGTGAAAATTTGGATAAAACTAAATTCTGTTGTACTGACTGTAGGACTCATGGTGCTCCATTTTCTACAAATTGTCAAAATCATAACTTTCATCACCAATCTCATAACTCTGCTACTACTGTGAATTGTGTTCAAAATGATTCTATCCAAAATCAAGTCAGCCATGATGCTTTTGTGAAAACTGGACTTCTAGCATCACAGGATAGTGCTATAATTCCAACATGTGATAATGCTAACACTCAAGACAATAGTGCCTCAGTGCATATTTCTAAACCTGATAGTATCATGAACCAGTTTTCAGCGCCAATTATTAAAAGTGAACATGGTGAAATGGATTTAGACCAATATCTGAAAGGTTGTCAGGATCCTAATGCTGAAGGTGCTCTCCTGAATAATCTTGAAGCATCAATTCATAGTTTATTTACACAAACATTTCCTCACGACAACCAAACTAAAGTCTGTCCTCCTCATCATGAACCCATTGGTAATTTGAAACGATCTTCATCATGGCATGATATTCATGATATTAGTACCAAGAAAAAGATTTTGCATCAAAAATATGTGAAGAAAAATCCCTTGTTGGACCCCAATATGAAACCATTGAAACATAAGATAAATAAAATAAAGAAAGTGAAACTACATGGTAGTAATGGATATCATAAACCAACATTGCCTAAAGTACCAATTCGTGTTGGACCACCATTAAGTAAAGAAGAGGAACTATTAGATAGGTTAAAACATAACAGACCTGAAGTACCCTCATGTACTTGTGTCAGCCAAGGTAAGTAAGAGTTTTACATCTAATTACTAAGTATTCTTAGCTGATATACAACTCTTCAAAGTGAGGAAGGTTTTTATGTCAGTATAAATTTCCCCTACACTGCCTGTTGTCTCCTTTTGCTAGAAACCTAATTCTTTTATGTGGGAAATTTTGTGAAATATTTATTTCTGTAAGTAACATACTCATTTTTGGATTGCCTGAATCTTGTGGGCAAGAACTATTGAAGGTGGACTTGCTGATAATTAGAATTGGTATGTTAGAATTTCTTGGAACAGGCTTAAATGTATTCTGCTTTGCATGAAAATAAGTGTTGCACAATACCTGCTACCTAATTTTGTACCTCATTGAATAATAATTGATTTGTTTTGTAGAGGAATTAAATAGTGAAGCAGATGGACCATACTATACACAACTAGGTTATGGTAAATCTATAGCTTGTGTTAGAGAGAAACTAGAAAAACAGTAAGTTGTTATTGAATTCAGATTTGCAAGTTTGTTTTCGTATTCTTCTTCCCAGGATTTAGTATGTAAGTCTTGTCTTGTTAAGTCTACTTTCATATGTAACATGTTTGGACATACCCATGTCACTTGTATGATTTGGTTTTGTTGATTTATGTATGTAGTCATGTAAGAATGCCTTATTGGTCAACATGTTTTGTAGGACTGGTGCTGTTGGTAAAGCATTAAGAATAGAAAAAGTTCAGTATTCTGGTAAAGAAGGTAAAAGTTCTCAAGGTTGTCCGATAGCTAAATGGGTAAGTTTTAGATTTAAACAAAAATTGTAAAACCCCATTTCATAGATATTATATTGAATTCATATCAAAAGGATATACAGTGGGTTAGATGCTCATCAAAAGGCTTTACCTGTCTTCATTAGTCCAAATAAAAATTAAGATTTTCTACCTGTAAATAAATATCTGTACATCATTGGTTTTCATCCCATAGCAAACAAAATAATAATTGTATATTAAAGATTATTAGAAGATCTGGACTAGATGAGAAGTTTTTATGTATTGTCAAGAGAAGAAAAGGTCATTTCTGTGATAAAACATATATAGTGATAAATCTGGTAGCATGGGAAGGAGTGCCAGCTGATACAGCAGATGAATTATATAACCATCTTACTTCTTCTCTTACTAAAAATGGTTTTGAAACAGAAAGACGGTGTGGAACCAATGAAAAGTAAGATTTTTACTTTTTGTATTACAGTGCAATATTTGTTATTGTGTACATCTAGGTATGGATGCAACTATACATATGGATTTTAGGGAAAATCTGGAGACTTGCCTGCTTAAATTCATGAATTTCATGCTCAAAGATAAGAAAACACTATAAAATTCCATTTCTATTATGTTGCTTATTATAGTATGTATACATAGCTATGTATTATTGTTGTAGAAAAACTTGTGCTTGTCAAGGAATAGACTTAGTGAAACGGGGTGCTTCCTTTTCATTTGGATGTTCATGGAGTATGTATTTTAATGGCTGTAAATATGCTAGAAGTAGAGAAGTTCGCAAGTTTAAATTAAAAGATACTTCAAAGGTAAGGTTTGAAAAGTTTTATATTGATATCGAAAAACAAACAATATTTTTTTACTGTCGATTCCTTTAGGGATAGAAAACTGTACATGCAAATTGCACCATTCAGGCTTCCAAAAAATGTTATGTTTGATACTGATATTATGGCATATTTTATTGTGTCTTGTCTAAAGTCTATCTAGCTATCTGTTATTAAATTAAGAATGTTAATATTAGATAGTTGATTTCAAAGTGATATTATGAGAATATTAGGTACAGTACAACTTGTCCAACTTCAGTTGGGACAAAGACTAAAATAGGTCAGTTGTCTGAAGATTGATTCACCTGAAACTCTGAATAATGACCAATTCCAGGTTTTTTTTTGATAATACTGATTATGATATTCAGGTAGAATATAATATGTTGGTTTGTTTGTAGGAAGAAGAATTAGACAGCAGATTACAATCTTTAGCTTCTATAGTTGGTCCACTGTATGAAACAATGGCTCCTGATGCACATAGAAATCAGGTAATCATAGAAATTGGCTATGTGATACTATATCAAATGGCAATAAAATGAGACCCTATATGCTACTTTGCTTGATATATGGAAAACCAAAAATTTATTCTTATGCTGCTGTCCAGTTATAATTTTCATGCCCATCATTTTAAGTTCAATTAGAAGCAGTAGGCCTAAAAAAAGATGTTAAACTAAATTTATTACATTCTTATCTTGAAAGTAATTATCAATGTATTTTGGAAGGCATCTTTATATTTTTATTGCGCTATCAAATTGAATATAGAAATATACATTTGATATAAGGGAATTAACTCTATTTGTCACTCGCTTTTCAGTGTGAATTAAAAGGAGGTAAAGAATGTAGACTTGGTTCAACAGAAAAAAAGCCATTTTCTGGAGTGACAGCTTGTGTTGATTTCTGTGCTCATGCTCATAAAGATCTTCATAACATGAATAATGGTAGTACAGTGGTAAGTTAACAATACTCTATGATTTTCTCTATGAAAGGCTAGAGAATGATCCAGTTGAAGGACATATTATGTATTTAATTTCATTTTTTAACAAAGTATTTGTAAGTTATTGTGGGAAATATTTGAACATTTTCATATTAAAACATATACTTTGCTAAACAATTTGTGTTTTGAACACAGGACCAAATCTTTTGATTTTCTGTAGTATTCATTCCTACTGTACACTATCTTTCAGGTAGTAACACTGACTAAACATAGAGGATGTGCTAAGGCAGAAGATGAACAACTACATGTCTTACCATTATATATATTAGATCCGACTGATGAAACAGGCAGCTATGAAAATCAGATGGAAAAAGTCAGACAAGGAGGTTTAGAAATTCTTCATAATTTTCCCCATGAAGCTAGAATGAGATCTACTCCTTTAACTCCAAAGAAGAAAGGTCGTAAAGCTAATAAAGATCATCAAAGTCCAAATGGAAAGAAGGAAAGAGTGGAACGTGAAGCTATGAATTCTATATTAGCTATGAAAGCCAAACTTAAACAGGGTCCAAATCATTTGAATATGAACAATATGGCTCCCAACCAAGTGAATAAATGTGAATCAAAAGTTGAGCATGTGAAAAGTGAAAAAAAGAACAGTTTAACTTTTGACAATTTAATGGAGCTTCAAAATACTCCAGGCTTTGCAGAAATGCAGGACTCTTTTTGGAATTATTTTTATTCTAATGGCTCCTTTCCACCGTCCGAGTTTTTACATAAATGGGGAGTGAACCTTCCAATTCACCAACAAAATGGTTTTAAACAGGATGTGAACAATCCCTCCATTACTGTTATTCAAAAACCATCACATGAAATGTTGCCTAATATGAATCAACCACATCCAAATATAAAAGTGAATCATTCAGACAATAATCCATTTAGTGATCAACCTTCAAATCATACCAACAATGTCCATCATGATCTCAATTCTATGAAAAATCAAAATAACAGTCATAATACGCATGCATTTGAACAGCAGCAGAAGTCTAATATTCTTGAAGATCTCAAATCGGGATATCCTGTTCATCAAATATCTCGAAATGATCAGATACAAACCTTCCAACAAGATGGCTATCATCAAAGTTCTTTGATAGATCCCAAAATGTCTGGTTCAGAGAATCATAAACCTGATTATCAAGACCGTAGAACCCCAGGATTACTAGGCAACAATGCTCAAGCCACACCAATTCATCCAAATCAGAAACAAGGGTATCAAGATCAGAGGATTTCAAGTTTACCAGAGCATCAGAGACAAGGTTTTCAAAGTTTTTTACCTGGCTTTGGAAGCCACCAAATGAAAAATGTTCAAGGACAAAACCCTCATAACAATCCGACTGTGTCTGTGCCAGAACATATCAGACCGGGTCCAAAAGAATTTCAATCACCATGTATACCAGAGCAACAGAGAAATACTGTTCCTGAGCAGAGGCCTCATGGTTTTCTTGGTAAGCAGGGACCAGTCTTTACAGATCATCGTACAGCAGGTTTTCCTTCAAATCACACTGGTCTGAAACCCGATGGATATGCATTTCGACAATCTCCTGGATTTCACAATAACCAAAGACTTGGATTTCCTGAAGAGCAAACATCTAACATTTCAGGCCAAAATCCCTCTGGAAATTTGGATAGACAAAGATTTGGTTATTCTAATCAATATTCAAATTTTCCTGGCACAGACAGTTCAACTCAAAATTCTGATTTTCCTGCAAAGCAACTTCATTTGCCTATGGATAAACCTGGCACTCCCCAACACTTTTCTCATAATGATGGACCAAACAGTCAACACTCTGATGATTTATTTAAAATACCAAATGCTCCAGATAGTATTCACCCTCGAAAAAATGGTTATCCCAACTTTAACAACCCTTTTCGGTCTCCAGAATCTAATTCAATCCAGCAAAAACAATTTTTACAGAGATCTGCTCAGCATCCTATAAATAGTTTTTCTCAGAATAATTTTCATGAGAAATATTATCCTCCACTGGATTTAACAAATTCTACGGAACCAGCCAATCCAAAACAGCTCCCATCTAATGAACTCCCTGTCAACTTAACCAATGGTCTCTCAAACCAGAGATATGATGATTGGACTCAAGTCAAGAGGCAGTGCCTTTCAAACAATCCTGATGATCCGTCTCAAAACGATGTAAATAGAACATCTCAATCACCCAATCAACACAATAACTTTGTGCATAATCAATTTCCAAATAAATTTGGTGCTACTTTTCCATCTCAAAATAGAATTGGTGCTGTAGACAATCCTGTACCTCAAAGTGGACATATAAATGCACAATCTAACAGACTGCCACAATTCAGTCCAAACAACAGTGTAATCAGTGATAATTCAGGACTACCTCATAATATGATGAGACAGCAGCATTGTGTATCATTAGGCAGCAGTGGTGAAATACCATCATTATCTGTAAACTCAGCATTGTCATCAACATCAAATTTACCATCCAAAATACCAGAAAATATTTCAGATCATTCAGATAAAGTAATGAATAGGGCATCATCCTCAATCAATCATTTTGAAAACCCATTGAAACATGTTTCTCAAATGCCTTTACCAACTCAGGATCTTAACCATCACCAGCCTATGCAAAATCAACAACAACCAAAACAAAGAAATGAGAATGAACATTCCTTTAATCAAAATATATCATCATTTCATAACAAACCAAGTGCTATACCAAGATCTCATAGTGTACCAAATCCATTTGATAATTTTCATCAGGCAAACATGCATAATCAAAATATCCACAATCATTCATCATTTCCTGAGAGCAAACAGATGTTTGCTTCTGGAAACATGACTGATTTCAAATTGCCTAATGCACCAAATGGTATGCATAATGATTTGAAATTCGAAACTGGTGTAAAAAATGATTCGAATCAGCCAAATGAACAAATTTTAGATCCCACGGTGGTTCATTGTCAAATGGAATATAATGAAGAGAGTTTCCATGATCCAGATGTTGGTGGTATAGCTATTGCTCTGTGTCATGGATCAGTATTATTTGAAGTAGCTAAACGTGAGCTTCATGCTACTACGGCTTTAAAGAATCCAAACCGTTACCAACCAACCCGTATAAGTTTAGTATTTTATCAACATAAAAATCTAAACTTCCCCAAACATGGAGCAGCAGAATGGGAGAAGAAGTTAGAGAAATTGAGAATTGAGAAGTTGGAAAAGGGAGAAAATAAGAGAAAGGAATCTTTTGAAAATGAAGTCATTCCACCTGAATTGAGGATGAAGAAAAAGAAGAAAGAAAATGACGAGGAGGAAGTAGATTTTGCCACAACTTCTGCAGCACAATATAGATATATGTGGGAAGCACCTGCAGTCCGTAGTCCTGCTTTAACAACAGATTCTATCATAACACGCTGGATAGATCCTCAACCGATGGTTACCGGTCCTTATCAACGTTGGGTGCTTCCATCATGCTAGAATATTATTTAATGCTTGTATCATGCTTTTTAATATATTAAGCTTGTATTTGTTATATATTTGTTATATTAATGTTTAGTTTTGTATACACAAGTTATTGTTAGAGGATAAATTGTATATTAGCTTTGAAACTGCAGGAGAATCAGAATTCAGTGTCTCTAAAATTGTACTTGCAATTTCGAGAGATAAATTACTATGAGGCACATTTTCAATCATTTCTGTCAGTATTTTTGTATTTTTCACAATTTTATATTTGAATAATTAATTGTATATTTTGTTGATATTTTTCAATCAATTGTATATATAAAACAACTTTTAAATATTATATTTATCATAATTGTTTATAGTTTTAATCATCTCTTTATTTTTTTTTTAATTAATCATAGTTAAACGAATTAATGAAATTGATTTTTGTTTATTTTTGTTTGTTTCTGCATAATTTTGATAGCTCAGGCACTATAATAATGTAACTCAGGGTGTCCGTTATAAAACAATATTTGTTTATAGATTAGGTGTGTATGTTTTTAACTTATTTTAATTATTGTATATATGAGATAGATTTTAATTATAGTATATTAAGATTTTGGGTCAATTTAGTCAGTATGAAAGATTTTTGAAAGAATGTGTTGTGTGAAATAATGAATTTATAATAAAGACATTAATATTTTCGATTAGAATAGGATAAAATGTAATCAGAATATTGTGTTTGATTTTAATAACATAAATTTTTTGTAATTGAAAAGTCTTTTTTAATAATATTACATTTGATTAGGTTAAAACTAAATGAAATTGCTTTCAATTTGAATAACAAATATTTTAAATTGGAATGGGTTTAAAGACAATTTTTAGAATTATGTTTTTAATTTGATTATTAACATAAATATTTATATTGGAATGGGTTTAAAGACAATTTTTAGAATTATGTTTTTAATTTGATTATTAACATAAATATTTTAAATTGGAATAGGTTTAAAGACAATTTTTAGAATTATGTTTTTAATTTGATTATTTAATTTGATTATTAACATAAATATTTTAAATTGGAATAGGTTTAAAGACAATTTATAGAATTATGTTTTTAATTTGATTATCAACATAAATATTTTAAATTGGAATGGGTTTAAAGACAATTTTTAGAATTATGTTTTTAATTTGATTATTAACATAAATATTTTAAATTGGAATGGGTTTAAAGACAATTTTTAGAATTATGTTTTTAATTTGATTATTAACATAAATATTTTAAATTGGAATAGGTTTAAAGACAATTTTTAGAATTATGTTTTTAATTTGATTATTA